AAATCCTACCTAAGTTTCAGAATAAAGGAGAGGCACCACCTAAAAATCTATTTTTATGATGAATAAGTACTACAAAAGCTTTAAAAGTAGAACAAGTGTGCCTTTCTAAGCGATTACACCTGCTCGATTGTAAAATACAGTTGAAAGCAAAAGAAAATCCATCTAATAAACTAAACAAAAAGTGAATCGTTCCTCTCTTCATATTGTAATGCAATCAATCTAGCATGCATTTTATCGCAGGTTAAAATGTTAAAATGAATATTTAAATTTTGTTAAATCATTTGTTTTGTTTCCTAACCCCATATTCTAGATGTTTTTTTTCTCATCTAGGAAGAATCTGTGCTGATTCAAATACTACACATTAGTATCAATCGTATTTCGTGATATTTAAATCTTAAACTAGGTGAAGGACTACTAAGGAATACATATAAACTTCTACAGATTGATCGCAGTTCGCAGCTCCTCATTTACTTTATCCAGTGGAATTTCATTCTTAAAATCTGTAAATTTATATTCCTAAAATTCAGAAAAAAATTTGATGAGCTCAATAAGACTGCTATCTCAACTTAAGATAAGTTTAACGCTAGTTTTCTCTAGAAAAAGATCTCATTCCATCTCCAACAGAATCAGTTTTTTCTGAAGCAAGAAAGAGTTTCAAAGGATCTGAAAGAAATCATCATTATTAAAAATAAGACAGATTCCTTGAAAAAAAGATAAATCCGCGGAGGAAATAAGCAGCTGTTCAGACTTAAGTGACTAGAGGAATAGTTTTAAAAAGCAGTGGGAAATAGGAAGCAAAAAATAGTACGACACAGCAGCTGAGATCGAGAAGAAACAATCGCTTAACATAAAATTAGTCTTTAAACTGATTTATACATAGAACATGATAAAAGCTAAGGTAAATCTTTTTGATGAAATGAATCTTACAGAAACTGCAAGCTTACACCTCTCCGGAAATCAAAAATGAATGATATTGACATCGCTATTGCTTCTAACTCTAAAATTTAAACGATCTCGAGAGTTTCCTATCCTTCCAGAGAGCAGAAAGAAGGTGGTAATTAATAATATAATCTACTTCATAAAATATGATGAAGGTCTCTACAGAAGGAGAAAAGACCCTGATGAAAATAATGACCACTAAGATATGAGAAAGAATATCCAAAGACAAAACGTCAAAACGTCAAAATCATTTGACTATTCCATTTCCTTAATAAATCATTTTACCATAATTTAAGAGTGGCTGAAAATGACGCAATAGCATGCCTGAATACCAGAAGCTTCTCGTTGACGTTGTTTAATTATAGAAACTTGGAAGTTCAAAATGATCGTCCAGATGAGCCCCAAAGTTAACTTCGGACTTCCCTCTACAATATCTTCCGGTCGAATATTGACGGTTTTTATCTGAAACTGAAAACTATCAGATTTGAAGTTCATTGTGAATACCGAATGAACTAATTTTGGTACTCAAGCAAAAGTGCCAACCCACAATAAAACAATACGGTTTTCAATACAGTTTAGGATCTGAAAACTTACCCTACAGTGATATGCTATGATTCCCAAAGTGAAAATAATTCATGAAACTGAAATTCAAACCTAAAACCAACTCACATTTTTCTTTTTCAGAAAATCCAGGCAATATTGCACATTTTGTATTCTATGAAAGCGTGTATACCCGTTTTCACGAGGCTGGAAAGTGAGTAAAATTAGAACGTAAATTTCGAAAATTTCAAACAATCATTTCAGTAACTGCTCAAAACGCTGCATATCTTATTGGTCTTGCAAGATATAACAAATTAGATTTATTATGATTCTTAGTCTAAAGTCCAAGTACGACTGCACCAAACTCATTTGTTACACAATCTGCTTCGTGGCATGATCTTTATTTACAATTCAGCAACAGTTATAGGAGATTAAAGGACTAAAGATTCCGCATGGATATAACGCTTTCAATTGAATTTCAATTTCAATTGATTAATCATTTACTTAAAACTGTTCATATAACGTCCAACATTCTTTCAAGGCCTTTCTTAATCGTCGGACATGAAATTTGCAGAGAATTACATGGAATTTATTAATGGCATGACTTGTAAATATTAATTAGTTGTGCTCTTTTCTGAAGGAATTCCGATCGCGCAGTTGAACTATTTGGCACAAGAGCTGGGATGTTGGTACGGTGAAAATTATACAAGTGAACTTTTATAGCACTTCACTATAAAACAGGTTACTGGTTAATTTGTGAAGCATAGAAAGTGGTTGATAAATTTTTTTTTTCGAAAACAAAGTTTTTTCTAAAGGAATGCTTTCCGCGCTGTTAGAAGACGCGTCCAACAAATGAGTAATCGAAAGTGGGAGTGTAAAATGGGGGAAGTTCAATCCGTAGTGAATTTGTTGACAAGATAATCATAAAGTAGAAATTTAATTCAAATAGAAATCTTTGTGATACTTAATGAAGCCGAAGTTCATTCAAGTGAAACTAATTTTCTATTAATATCTACTACAGTTTCCATGCACTCAAAATTGGCAAGAATAGAAACGGTATTAGCTTTACTCAGAATGCATTAAACCGGATCAATAAATGACAACTTTTTGTATCGAAGAATTAAAGCTGGAGATGTAATGTTCCAATCTATTCTCAGCTTTGAGGTTGTTTTAAAACCTTCCTTAATTGTTTAAATTACAAGTCACAATATTGATTTTATTTATGGTGCAATTAACGGTAAGATATGAGCAGAAAAATCGATAGCACTGATACAAAAACGTAAGAGATGTATTGAAAACTTAGCTCAAACCATAAATTTTATAATAAAAGTTATCAATTTTCATGCATTCCTGTAGAAATTCATGTAAAAAAGTGGAAAAAGTGCAGTGGGATGCATCATATGAATAACAGAAAATGGAAAAGAAATATGCAAATTTAGGCTTAATAAAAAACCTAATTCTGATATCATTATAATAAAATGCATACCAGTTTCTCGGCGGAAAGTGCCTCGAGCAATGCGATGAGATTGTATCCATCAGTGAGATCAACAAAGAGATCTTCCACATGTAGACCGGCCTGCAGAAAAAAATTTTCCTTGAAAAAAGAAACTGAATTCCAATTGAATAAATTATGCGTTCAGAAATTTTTTCTACAGCAGAGTAGCAGATCCAACAAAGGAGATTGTGATAAAAAGAACAAAGAAGTGTTTTTAATACTTCACTTTTCAAGAAAAGGTTGAACAGAATTTTTCAAACATATTTCCGAAGTATGTAGCCCATCTTCTTCGTGACATACATGCAATTCGCACAAACAGTTTTACGTACTTTACCCATATTAGACAAAAATAACTTTAAAATTGTTTTTTTCATAAACTTTACAAACAGAGTATCTCAAAAAATTGTTGCCAATGTTGCCGCATAACAGATAGATCGAATTTCAAAAAAATGAAAAAATCGTAATTAGCGTTAACGTTACATTGCAGACATGTAATAAGCAAATGTCATAGGACGACAACAGATTTACTTGAGATTTGTTTTGATAAAAGCCATGTGAAAGGAAATACATTGGATAATTGGATTTTTTATCACGTATCCATCATTCTGCATACTTTTGCCGCGGGCAATCGCAGTTTTCTCATTGGATGATTCGCAGACTGTTATCAGAAAGAACAGATTTTTCAAAACAGTTTCTTTGCTGATGACTACTGTGAAAATATTGGGATTCCTACAATTGTTATTCATCAACTAATACATTGTCCACGTATGTTACCTTAGCATCTAACTTATTATATTTTTATCATGTTTATTTCGAAAATTTTTTACAGTGCAACGATGAAATGAATGCTTACACACTGCGTGTGTGATCATCAATCTTTCAGTCCTTTTTAAATTTCTCAATTGTCGGATAAGAGGACAGTCAACTTGAAAGTAAGTCGCAATAACTCAGGAGCTGTATATGGCACAATCAAAAAGCTGCTAATTACGGATTCATTATCTCTTGAAATAGAGCTACCTACTTCTCGAAGTCTCCAACTCCCTCAACAAAAGTTGTAGCCTCTTGGAAACGAGACTGATGATGCATATGAAATGGAGTAATAAAGGAAACGATAGAAATATGCATAACTTTTCGGACAATGTAAGCTGGAAAAAAGGACAATGCAAGCTGAAAATATTTTTTCGAGTGTCATCATAGACCAGACTTCATGCAGAGAAAAATTTTAGCTATTTCTATCAAACTATTGATTACAGAGCCAAACATTCAAATCGAATGAAAAATTCTAAAGTTCACTTTGCATTCTAATATCTTGAAATGAAGTCTTTTTTTTAATTTTTTCGAGGAGGATAAGTGTTTTCTTCGAGAGAGGACAAAGAAAGGAAAGAGGAATGGGCTAAATATTTTTTTTTATTTTGATTCATCTCAGCTTTGTGTTCAAAATTCGAAATCAGGTAATCGAAAAAAAGTATTGGAAGTTTAAAATAATGTAAAATTTCGATGCTGAAGTTAAGAACAAAAAAGGGAAAAAATTAAACAACATAAAAAGTTAACCTTGCCGAGATGCTTGTTCACCCACTTTGTGAATGTCTTCTTTTGAATCGCGTCTCGCTCATCTGAAAAATGGACATCTTCAAACATATCTCACTGAAAAGTTGATAATTTTAATACTAAAAGAGAGAACTGACGAAACAATAAATTTCCAATTGGATTTTTTCGTGTTATTTCACTTACAAAAGATCAAATGTAGTACAAACACCACAAAAGTACTACAAAAGATCAAGCTACAAAAGAACAAATGTAGTTTAAGTTTTCAGATCATTAGACAAATGAATATTTCTCATTTTAAATAAAAAATGAAGATATGCTGATAATTTTAAACAGTTTACATCGGTGCAACAGGCAACAGCTCAGAAAAATTTCGGGAAATTCATGCGAAATTGAACTTTTTATGAAAGTTTTGCATAGATGCATGTAGCTCCGAATCGATTCTGGAAGAAGTCGACTTCGTATTTCGCCGTGATGTAGTGACAAAGGCCGGTAGTATTAAGATAAAGAAGTAGGAGAATTTCTTTGTTTTTAGTTCAAGTCAAGAACAGACCATGTTGGTTAGCTAAGGTTAACAACAGTTCAAAGGTTAGAAATGATCAAGTCTCAGAGTAACAATGCATGACAATATCCTGAATATAGGATGATTCATCGTAAATTTTCCATGAATTATTAAGAATGTATCCAAATTTTCAAACAGTTTCTCAGTTCCTTTAGGAAAAGTTCAATGAAGTAAGAACAAGTTCCCCCAACTTCATCTCGAATCATATGTATATATAAAAGCTTTCTGCTGAATGCAGCTTTGCGCTGAGAAAATGACCTCAAATTACTTAGTCAATGAGTAATCATATATATGGGTTACGTCTACAATCAAGGAGCGGTAGTAGAAATAATGTAAAAATGTACGACATATTTTCATGGCCTATCTAGGAAGATGAAGAGGAAGAGTTGAAGATACTACGAGGCGTAGAATATGGGAACTTAATGGAAGCTAATAAGGCTCAGCCGCCCAGTGATGATTAGGATTAAACTACCCGAACTGCCAATACCGAGTTAACCGGACGATTGGATAACTTCTAATGAAGGGTAATTAGGACTTAGATCTCTTCAAGATGGTCGAAAGCAGAGGTATTCAACTTCGTAGAAATATAAAACAATGAGCAATCTGGTGCTTGGGACTGAACTTCCCAAAGTTTTAAGACAACACACAGAATAATTATGCTTTTCTACAACATAAAGTATTCTTGATCATCACAGAAATTAAATCTGTCATTGAAATAAGCAATCAACGAAAGATATTTTTTCACAATATTTTTTAGATGTTATTCCAATTTCAATTACATATTGTCACCGTTTCTCAAATATGATCAATAAAAGCTAATAAACGGTATATGACTATATGGCTTATGAATGAGAAACGTTCAAAAAAGAAATAAAAATACAGAGAGAAGAAAGAGAGATAAATTACATGATTTTCAGCATGAATATGAAAGATACGCGAAGGAAGAACAAAGAAAGATAAAGCAAATCCCAACAAAATGACACATTTAAAGTTACCTAAATGTATGTCAAAGTTTAAAGCTCTAACAATGACCTGAAGCTGGATCTGAAACAAAAGGAAGTTTGACTGTCTGCGAAATTCTCCATAAATGACATAGGGTTAAACGGTAAACCAGGAATTCAACTTTCACTATTTAATGCATTAAAATACTAAAGTATTTAGAAATTATACAGCAGAAAAAATATAAACATTGATATTATTTGATATTAAACATTGATATCATTGATAGTATTCATACGATTCGGACAGTATATCAATAAAATTATGGCGCCTCCAAGCACATTATGTTCATTCCTGATTCATCCCAATACGTCACGCTCCGGTAATGAGGTAATTGATAAGCATCTTCATTGGAGCAATATATGAAGATAATTAAATGTAATTATCGGAACGCATAAAAACCTCAATCAGACCCGGAAATGAGAATACACCCGATGAATGAGAGATAATATGCGATTGGGAGAAAAAATAGGTTTTCGACTTCAACCATATCTTTATACTGCATTATCAAAAAGCATTTGGCTCGTGATAACACATTCACAACAGCCAACTTTGCCGGTCGTTAAGTGCTATTTTTCAAGGCAGTTACCTAAGCAATGTTAATCGCAGGTTGGACGTGAGTCTTCCTGACGTCTTATCAAATATTACTGAAAAAAGATTTTCCCTTCGATCAGTTGGAATCTTCCTGTCCTTTTAGAAAAATACGAACTTACTATAGGATATAAGAGATACGCGATATAAGAGATTCCTATGAGAGATACACATGGAGAGAGCTAATAGTAACGGATCTGAACGAATGGCACGAAGAGGATCGACGAAAAATCCCATTCTCTACAGCAACGTTATAAGGATGGCCTTTAGGTAACAAAAGAAACCAATAATTTTCCAAAATCGCGAGAATTTCAGAATATCTTTTGGCGCACAGACTGGAAAAGAGATGTTCTCAGGGTAAGATGATGGATGCCAATGTAAGGAAATATGCAACGACATTTGCATTTGCACTATCTTCTGTTTGAAGAAATGATATATAAAGCAGCCAAATGCGAGAAACTCTTTCCGATCTCTTTATCTTACAGGTATGGACAGATAATAAATTGTGATGAAAATCATTAGTAATTAACCAATACCAAATAAACTGAAACACCTTTTCATCAAATTTTACGATTTTCGACAGCAGAAATCGTCAATGTAACTTAAACCACTAAGACTTTTATGACTGGCGGTAAGAATTTTCAATTATAATGCAGAACTTCGTGAAGAGGAATGAAGAAAATGGCGATTTCCACAGAAATTGTCGGGGTAAACATGATAATTAACTGGGAAAAGATAGAGTAAACTCACCTTTGTACTTTTCCAAATTATTTTCATAGTGCTCCAAACATTCAGTTTCATTGGAATCAAAGCAGTAATACTCAAATGATGAAACGTCCGATGAATAGCCCTGATGTGAGAATGGGGTTGACGAGAGCGACATCTTTGATGACTGATATCAGAGTACAGTTCAGGAAATCATTATCAGTATGCTTAGGTCATTACAGCATCCACTGAGAACTTTTCGCAACAAAAAAACCTTGTAGTGTATTATATCATTGAAATAAAGCTCCTATAATAAAATCTGAAGGATACGACGCAAAAAAAAACACATTGCGAACAAGTGGTCAGGCAGTTAGATGATTCTAAAAACCGTGCTATGAAGATCTTCAGTCTCAAGAGTGGTGACAACAATCTCATAAAATGAGGTGACGAAACAAAAAAAGTCACAAGTGGTAACAAAGCAGTTGTCAATGTCGCTGAATAACACAAAGTTTATTTATTGGATACAAAGGATTCAGTTAAGGAATGAGGTGTTACTGATCTAATTGTTTAATTGTTTGTTCGACTGCTTCATCTAATTCATCTATTTGTTTAATTGTTTGTTTGACTGCATCTAATTCATCTAATTGTTTGACTGTTTAAATAATCGAATAATTAATTGCAAAGTATTTAATGAAACCAAGTTTATTGTTATCAGTGAAATAAAAGTAAAAGTAAAATGGTGCAATGGAAATTTGTTTAAAGGTTGAAAATATTAATAAAAGATTTCTTCTACGACCGGCAGTGAAGCAGTTTATTGCAAATGATGAAGGAAATAAGATAAATTCAAGTTGAATGCAGGAATTAAAGTAACAGTGAACGAACATAGCTAAAAGAGGAAAGGAGAGAGCAGGGGGACATGGGTCGCAACCTCGTCATACAAAAAGTGATGGAAAGATCTTGTGAGATAAATTTCTACGATGCTGTAAGCCTATCGACAGATTGATGTATCAAATCTTGCTAACAAAATGGGTGATCAAAACGGACTGACAAGTTCGGAAATCAGTGATAGGATAAGGATAACCAGTGAGAGAGTGAAGAAAGTAGATGGAATAAGTGTATGGGAGTATGACCCTTTTGGATGTACACGAACTGGACACAAACCGATCTTTCATCTATCAGACCTCGAGCTGAATGAATAAGAGATTGAGTAGAAGAGAATGAGAAAGGGATTGTTCGCCATCTACAGCAGAGACTCAGAAATAGTGTAGGCATTTGCATATCCGATATGAGTGAGGTCGAAGGTATGTGTGTGCACATATGGACGGCTACGGAAGGGATGAGGGAACGTACTGCCGTACAAAAAAGTGTAAAATGAAATGGCTCCATCCCAAAGGCATTTGGCGCATTTTGGCCCATTTGCACCAGATGCGCCAAATGCTTCCGTTGACATCTCTATGCTTAATCGATATAAAAAGTTAAATAGGCAAGAACAAGATGATTTGCTACTGAATCATTCCCTCTAATTATGATCGCACATTTCCTGTTTGATTTCCACAGAGATTAATATATTATCACAACTGTTAATCCTCTCTTCTCTTTAGAAATATGGCGGACAAAGTCAAGATAGAAATTAAAAGTATTTCGTTCTTCTTACTGCTTTCTCATTTCCGCTTAATTGCAATCGCTGAGAAAGTTCTTTCTTCAATGTTTTATATACTAACTGCCTCCAAATACGTTCAGTTAGGCGTTAACTTAACATTTTGTCACAATGAATTTTCCACAATAGAAATATTGTATTTCTTCTTTGATATCGCATCACATTTCTCAAAGTTTACTAATACCGAATCAAAGATTTGGTAGTGATATAGCAGTACTGGTCCATAAACTTGTCATAGAACTCTTGCGTCCTCAAGCAGCACAGAAGTTCCAGTTATCTGTATTGACCGAAAGAATGATTGATTAGCTATCAGATGTGCATGTCCTATCTTGACCGCATCTGAACTTAGACTTCCGAATGAAAAATAGTCCAGGAATGCATCCCTGTTCAATGAGTAAGAAGAATATTTTGGAAATGCCAAACTGCAGTAGGCTTAAACGTAAGCTACTGATAGCGCTGTATGTACAAAAAACGACAAATGTGATGGAAACGCCTGCCGACTGCTTCCAAACTTGTGATTATCTGTCCTGCATCCCTACGTCACATCCTCTGCTGCAGTCATTATTTAAACAGATACATACAGACACACACACACACACACACACACACACACACAGATACACACACACACACACATACATACACAAACACACATAGACACCGTATACAAGCATACATTTGTGTGTCTTTTACCAGACAATGCAGCTGTCTTCACTTCCTACTATCTAAACACAAATTGATGTAGTTTTTACATTGTTGTGCTCCACATGGGAGGGCGGTGTTGTCGTAGATCTCCG